TGCTCACTTTTTAAAATACGCCTTCATAATTCCATTCCATCACAGCAATACTTTTAATCCACAGTGTCCTCAGGATGGCAAAAAGAATTGTTACTCAAGGATCGCATGCTGGGAAAACATTCCTAACTGTAATCAAAGCCTAAATTCATGGAGTTATTCTTCTTTTCACTATTATCTTTGTTTCTCCCAGTTCCCTAGTTATCTTACTTCTGCGTGACTTGGGGACATGTCTAAGGGCATGTGAGTAAATAGTACAGTACTCTATATATCTCCATGTGTGGTTTTCCCCAAAGTAATATGCTTCAGTTGTGTTGAACAATAACTGTCAGAATTCCCACCCAGTGTGGGAATTTCTAGCTGATACTAGAAATAAAATATGGTTTTGTTGTCAGTTTACAGTCATATATATACTGTTTGTTCACTGTCAAAATGAAAATGTGCTAATGACCATCACAGTTAGATCTCTATAATAAGGACCTGATAAATCATGATCAATGGAATACAACTATGTTGTAGGATAGAATACTCATGTTCAGAAGCAGCATCATGCCCTATTTTTCAGTATTTAGGCTATGAGTGTTTTTGCCTATTTACCCAAACTCAAGAGCAAGAGATAAGTTTGGGGAAATCTCTAGCTTGCAAATGGACCAAAAAGAAGAAAAGGAAAAAACCACCAGCAAAATGCTCATTTCCCTTCACTGAAAACTTGTTGGCTTCCCAGAAGCATCTAACAAGTGAGTTAAAAACAAAAAGTTGCTGGGCTTAGTCAGATCCAGAATCACCTCATGAAGTTTGGGTATTTTTTTTGACAATTTTCTACATAGTATCTGTTCAGCCAATCTGATCTCTGTCGCAATCCCTGCCCTCTGGAGTGAGGTTCCCCCCAAGATCTGAATGGCCCCCACCCAGCTGGTGTTTCAAAGGGCCTTGAAGATCTGGCTCCTCATCCGAGCCTTGGTGAGGGTGAGTGAAGCCTCCTTTTGATCCAGCTTGGGTTTTTTTTTTCCCCACTTGGTTTGTCTTCCTGCCATCTTTACCCTTCTTATTATTTCTTGTCGTTTTTAATGTCTTGCTTTAATGTCTTAAGTCATTTGTAAACTGCCCAGAGTTGCTGGGAGTTAGGCAGTATGTAAATCTAATACATAATAATAACTTTTTTCTCTTCTTCTCCTTCTTTTACAGTTACTGTGACAGTTGGAGGCAGACAACATTTGCTTGGACTTTATGACACTGCAGGACAGGTAATACATCTCCAATTTATTTATTTATTATTGTTTTTCATGCCATCACTTTTCAGACATGAATAATGAAGGTATTTTTCTTTCCCTTTGACATTCCAAAATAGACATTTTTCATTTCTGTAATATTATAGAAATATATACAATTCTACAAAACCATCATATAATTGCCACCGTACACATATAAAACCAGATACGATAAATGATTAGAGCAAATCCAGTTTTCCCAATCTCAAAGATATTGCAGGTTTCTCTTGGCATAAAACTTTGACTAGGTCATCCTGTTATATCATTAAAAACAATTATCTCAGTGTTGCAGATTATTTTATTTTATCATGCTAGCTTTGTTTCTGACCTTTTAAAAATGATTCCAATTTTTGCCTCTTAGAATGGTAGCAACGTGAAAATTTGAATCATTTATAGTTAGGAAACCAAAGGTCCAATCTTGTGGCTTATACTGACAACTAGTGCCACCTTCTGTTTAATTTAAGAGACTGTATCTAAAGCTAAAGATGTTTCTCTGAACATCTTGAAGAGCTTTGAAGCATCTTCAAATGCACTGAAGTCTTCCTACTTTTCCTTTCACATGTTTGTATAAAAAGTGGATTTCCAGCAATCACTGCAACCAAGACCAAATAACAAAATAGGCTGAATAATTTGATAGCAATTCTGAATTTCATCCTGTATATTTTTTTGCTTTCACAGGAGGACTACAATCAACTAAGACCCCTCTCATACCCCAACACAGATGTGTTTTTGATCTGTTTCTCTGTGGTAAACCCTGCCTCTTACCACAATGTCCAAGAGGAATGGGTGCCAGAATTGAAAGTCTGCATGCCACATGTGCCTTATGTTCTAATAGGAACACAGGTAAATGACAAAAAAGAATCAGAGGAAATGTCTATCAGTAGTAGGCCATGGAAGTCTGTAAAACACAAACAAGTCTGGAAGTGTGGATGGTTGAGGAAACTTTCCTACAATGAATTGTGTTTCATCACAAAAGGATTCAAAGACTTCCAAAACTGAAAGGAGTGTGTAGGTTTGTCTCATTTTCGTCTACTTCTGTGATTTCAGATATACTGAAAATGAGGCACCTAAATTTCTGTAGAATTCAGTATGGAAGCAATAACATCTCACCTATGAGATGCTCAAATAGCTCTGAGCATTTTGCTACTGATGTTTATTGTTTGGGAATTAGAGATAGAGCACAATGATCCTTAAGTTTTGTGTTTGTCTGTATACTTCCAGATCGACCTTCGAGATGACCCCAAAACCTTGGCTCGGTTACTATATATGAAAGAGAAGCCCCTGACTTATGAACATGGCATCAAATTGGCTAAAGAGGTACTGTTTTTCCTCAACAACCATAGACAGTAGTTAGATTGGTATGACCAGAGCTAAGCCAAAGGCCTTTCTGCTTTTCTCAGAGCTAAGCAGACCAGAGATTTTATTCAATCATCATTGCCCCCTAAGAAATACAAAACAATAGATATCTCTAAGGGCATTGTATTTTCAGATCTTGCTTTTCTTTAATTCATTCCATATTATAATTTACTTTCACTACCTAAAGATTTTACTATGCTGGCCCTTAATAAGCCTTCCCAAAACTGGTAGCCTTCAGAAATAAGTCCCAGCATTTCTAACCACTTTGGTCAATAGCTGTACTACCTGGAATTGGGTTATTGTTATCTCAATGCATCTGGAGGGTACCACGTTCAGAAAAGCTTCCTTACGTTTAGCATTGGCGTCTCACTTATTTTAATTATGAGAATAGCCCAGTCATGTTGCCATTATTTTAGACTTGGTTTCCAGCTTGATAGATGCACAAATGTTAATTATTTTACTTTTTTACATTTCTTCCATTGAAGAAACTAATGGAATCAGTTCAGAAACAGTGGGCCAGTTGGGGCAGCACCACAAACTAGGAGAGACACTTAAAATAAAATGCCTATATTTTAAACTGTAAATTGTATGGTAGCCTAAGAATTACTCTTCTGTTTTTGCCATGACCCCTATAGAAGACATCCTCAGAGGATAGGGAGGAGGCAGGGAAGCCTTGGAGAGTGAACCTGGACTCAAGAGGACAAATGGGGAAGAACAGGCTCCTGTTGCTAGAGTATCTGCCTGTATTCTCAGATGCAGTGGAGGATTCTGTCCTATTGCCCATGGTTAAGTAAAATTCAGTAGTCTGATCAATCCTTTATCCTGGCCACAAAATGGTTTGGGCCCACTCTTCTTTTTAAGCTAAGCCTTTCTTACATCAATAAAAATGCTTCATGCCTATATCTAAAGAGAAACATAAATATAGTTGGGACTCAGCATTGAAGAGCAGTGTACATCTTAATTACATTTTGATGGGGAATAGGAACAAAAAGGGCTAACTCCTTCATGTCTTGCTTTTGGGCTTCCCAGAGGCATTTGGTACAGGATGCTGGACTAAATGGACCTTCAGTCTGATCCAGCAGGGTGTCTTCTTCTGCTTTACTTCTCATCATCAACATTCCTGCCTCTTTCTCTTTCATTCAAGATTGGAGCCCAGTGCTACTTAGAGTGCTCAGCTTTGACCCAGAAAGGCCTGAAAGCAGTCTTTGATGAAGCAATCCTCACAATCTTCAGCCCCAAGAGAAAGAAGAAACTCTGTGCCAAGTGTTGCAGCTGCTGTTCAGTTCTATGATGCCTGGAGATCAGTGGACCAGTGCTGCCAGTTAGAAGTCCAAACCTGCACAGAGGGACATGACCAGAAAAAAAGCTACTTTATAAAGTGGTTCCTCCTAATCTGTGATTCCTCTCAAATGCAACTTTGTAGACTTTTCATGCCTTGCTCATTTTTTCTAATCCCTGTGCATCTGTGTATACAAGTTCATGTCGAGATAACTTCCCCCTGTTTAGCCAGCAGATAAGGGGGGGGGGGGATTAAAGAAATTCTTGATGTAGTCAGTATCCATAATGCACTTGGAAGGAAAAAAGTATCTAAGGATCCTAATCCTACAACAGAGCCAAGAAGAACCAGATTTGTTATTAGCAACCCACAGCAAGAAATTAGTAAATTCCAGTATGAATATGCAATCATGATTGAACTTGAAGGACACAAAATGGTATTTAGACGTTTTTTAGGAGCTGACCATGTTAATACATGTAGAAGACCCGGGTCAATTCAATCTTTCCAAACTGAACGCAAACCAATGCTTTTGAAATAGATGGCATTGAATTCAAAGTCATTCATGTACTATATTTGTCTTCTGTTTATAAACTAAGCATAATCCAAAGAAATACTGTCAGGATGAATTGTCAGGTTGCCACTGAATGTATGGGAATCCTTTTCTTCCTAAACGAAATCTGAAGCCCTCAAGCTGTGTATTTTTCAAAATCATTTGGAAATGGTAATTACCATTACCATGAGGGGTCAGATGGGGTGCAGAGAAGAATGTGCATATGTCCTACCCACAAATCTAGTCCTCTTTTCCCAGAATTTATTTTTTATTCCAGCATATGCAGCCCACAAAAATTCCTAACTGCTCTTTCAACAGTATAGATGCTCTCAACTCAAGTTCAGTTCCTGATTACTAATTTTCTTGACAAGATGGGAGTGGTTGGCCATTGTTTTTTTCTGAGATGCTTTTTAAAAAAAAATTCCTAGGGTAGTTTATAGGCCTGGTATTATTCCTTGGTGGTCTTCCATCCAAGTATTGACTAAGCATGTACCTGTTTAGCTTCTGAGCCCAGACAAGTTAGGACAGGTGAGGTCACCTGCTGGAGATGCTATTTGCACAATCCAAGATCAAAAGGCAGCTTGAGGACAGAATACAAAAAAATCCTGAGACAGTCAGTACATGCATCTCATACACATGGATGTGTACTCACACACAGACTTACACCTTTATTCCTACCTCTTTCCCCAACCTGGAAAAATTAGTTTAAACCACCAAAATGTTTACTGAATGCAGGACTTTTAGAAGGAGCAGCAGCATGGTAGAAGCAATGTTTGCTTCAGGTTTTGGGATGAGTCATATGCAAAATGGCTTCCAAAGCCCTCTTTTTTTAGTAGCTCCACCTCTTTCTCATCCTGCTGTTGCCTCTTGATCAACTCTGTCTCTGTATTGTCGAAGGCTTTCACGGCCGGCATACGATGGTTGGTGTGGGTCTTCCGGGCTGTGTGGCCGTGTTCTGGAAGTTTTGTTTCCTAACGTGCTGGCGAAACGTT